ATTTCTCCTTATTGTAACTCCACAAGCCCCTCTTTCACCCCTTTTCTGAGATTTATTTCTCAGATCAACTCATCTCTTTAGATCCAAACGAGGAGCTTCCAGATCAGTCTATTCTAGTTTGACAGAGGTGTTTACAACTATAGCCGCACAGAAGCTTTTTATTTACAAAAAATATGAAGCTGATTCCATTAAGGTTGGGACACTAAACAAATTGTAAATTAAAACTGAACACAATGATGTGGAGGTTCAAACATCTAATGTTTTACTCAGAATAGAACACAAATCACAGATCAAATGTTTAAACTGAAAGAATGTATCATTTTAAAGGGAAAAATTTTGTTCCAAAATTTCATAGCGTCAACAAATCCCAAAAAAGTTGGGACAAGGCCATTTTTTACCACTGTGTGGCATCCTCCCTTCTTCTTACAACACTCAACAGACGTCTGGGGATAGAGGAAACCAGTTTCTCAAGTTTAGAAATAGGAATTCTCTCCCATTCATGTCTAACACAGGCCTCTAACTGTTCAATTGTCTTGGGCCTTCTTTGTCGCACCTTCCTCTTTATGATGAGCTAAATGTTCTCTATAAGTGAAAGATTTGGACTGGCAGGTTGGCCATTTCAGTACCCGGATCCTTCTCCTATGTAGCCATGATGTTGTGATTGCTGCAGAATGTGGTCTGGCATTATCTTTTTGAAAAATGCAGGGTCTTCCCTGAAAGAGATGACGTCTAGATGGGAGCATATGTTTTAGAACCTGAACATTGTTCTCTGCATTAATGGTGCATTTCCAGACATGCAAGCTGCCCATGCCACAAGCACTCCAGACCATCAGTGAAGCAGGCTTCTGAACGGAGCGTTGATAACAACTTGGGTTATCCTTGTCCTCTTTGGTCCGGATGACATGGCGTCCCAGTGTTTCATAAATAACTTCAAATCGTGACTCATCTGACCACAGAAAAGTCTTCCATTTTGCCACAGTCCATTTTAAAAGACCCCTGGCCCAGTGCAAACGTCTAAGCTTGTGGAGCTTGCTTAGAAATGGCTTCCTCTTTGCACTGTAGAGTTTCAGCTGGCAACGGTGGATGGCACGGTGGATTGTGTTCATTGACAATGCTTTCTGGAAGTATTCCAGAGCCCATTCTGTTATTTCCTTGACAGTGGTATTCCTGTTTGAGGTACAGTGACGTTTAAGGTACCGGAGATCATGAGCATCCAGTAGAGTTTTACGGCCTTGACCCTCACGCACAGCAATTGTTCCAGATTCTCTGAATCTTTTGATGAGGTTATGCACAGTTGATGATGATAACTTAAAAGTCTTTGCCATTTTACGCTGAGTAACGTCTTTCTGGTATTGCTGCACTTATCTTTCTGCACAACAATGGTGGAATTGGTGATCCTCTTACCATCTTGGCTTCAGAGAGACACTGACACTCTGAGAAGCCCAAACATGTTGTCAATAAACCTAATTAGTGTTAATTGGTCTTCCAGCTGTTCATTATATGATTAATTTCGTTTTTTCCAGCCACTTATTGCTACTTGTCCCAACTTTTTTGGCATTTGTTGACGCCATGAAAATTTGAAACCACATATTTTCCCTTAAAATGATGCATTCTCTCAGTTTAAACGTTTGATCTGTGATTCGTGTTCTATTCTGAATAAAATATTAGATGTTGGCACCTCCATTTCATTGCATTCAGTTTTTATTCACAATTTGTTTAGTGTCCCAACTTTTTTGGAATCCGCTTTGTAATTAAACAATGTCTGCAATGGAAGACTTGTCCATCCAGCCTCATGTGTTGGAGCCAGAGGAGTATGAAGATGACAAAACTGTAGTTTGTAAGTCCAGACATTATTTGGAAGTTCCATCACAAATACCGTGATGTAATGTAATGGTTGTTGTTGACACTCAGTCTTACATTACCAGCCGCCCTCTCCCAGGGAGGGGGCGGCAATACATGCACTTGCGTGATCAAAAAAAAAAATGGATCGGCCGATAAGGATACGAGGAAAAAACGCAAACATCGGCCAAAAATATCGGCCAGCAGATGTATCAGTTGATACAAAGTACATGAAGAAAAAAAACGTATCGCTATAAAAGTGGATTTTACATGATTTGTTTGGTAGGGATGTCTTGAGTTTTAGAGATATGCATCAACTAAAAACCTGCAGTCTTTCATTTAAACTAAAAAAAACTCCTTTAGTTAATGAGCATCTCTATAATGCTCTCCAACTAAGGTTTTTGAAAAGATCTTTAATTCAAACAGAAATGAGAAAAAGGCATCTCATATCTATTTTCATACACTTGGAAAAAAAAACTAGTTTTCCAATTGATCATTTCTGGTTGGCAGATTTTTGGAAAGGAAATTGCTCCATATCTTTGCAAAGAGAAGATCTAAAGCAGCAACTGACTCTGCTGGTTTGACAGAATGTACTTGGATGAACGTGTTACAGGAACACACAAGGAATTTAAAAACTAAAAAAAAAACTGAATTATAACTACCAGGTGAGCTGGCAATGTGTGTTGCAATCATTTTGTAACCAACCTACCATTAGAGCTGTTGTCATCCACCATAATTATCTCCTTCAGCAGGTTTTTAGGCGTGCGATCAATGATGCTCCGCATGGCTCGTTTAAGGATAGACAAGGCTTCATCCAGGTAGATTAGCACCACTCCCACAGTTGGCAGGTCCTTTGGGTAAGTCTTCTTTAAGCACCTAGTCAACAAAAAAGACATGACTGTTCAAATAATCTCGCAATGTATTGTTTGAAAATAAAAAAATATGTTTGCATGCTGTTTGAGAAGGGAGTGGAGTGCAACAAGGAAGTAATTTTAACAGTCACATATTTGAGTAATAACTCGAGGGAATTATCAAGGAAGCGATGTTACCTCGGGTCTCTCGTCTCTGGAAGAGGTCGGTCCAGAGGGAGGCGATCGCTCAGGAAAACGTTGTAGCCGTACTTCTCAAACAGAGCTTGCGCCTCTCGTTGCTCGTCTTCRGACAGATTGTCGCCCCACTCCTTGAAGATGGGGGAGTCGGGGAACACTTTGCCAGTTTTTTTCTCTTTAGGGGGGATCTTTTCTTTGGGTTCCTCTTTCTGCCCCGGCACCACGTGTATCGCTTCCTTTAGGACATCTGCAATTTTTCTCTGGGTGTCTCGGTCCTCTTGCAAAAATTTCTGCATGGCATCTTGCTTTCGCTCAAACTCTTTCAGGACTTTAGCTGAAAGATACAAAATGACAAAAGAGTCGAGGACAAAATACTGTGGAAGTGTTTAAATTGTACATTAAACACCTATTATTTAAAWAAGAACATATAAATTGTGTTGCATATTTTAGAGGGGGGTAAAGCGGTTTGCCACCAACACTATTTATGGTGGGGATGGTGTGCTGCTGACCTCTACTCGGGACATTGTGGGTAGGCGGACGGAATACTTTGAAGACCTCCTATATCCTACTGATACATCTTCCCATGAGGAAGCAGAGCCTGAGGACCCTGGGTCGGACTCTCCAATCTCTGGTGCCGTGGTCACCGAGGTGGTTAAAAAGCTCCTCGGTGGCAGGGTGCCGGGGGTGGATGAGATTCGCCCGGAGTTCCTTAAGGCTCTGGATGTTGTGGGGTTGCATTGGTTGATGCGACTTTACAATATTGCATGGACATCGGGGGCAGTTCCCCTGGATCTGCAGACCAGGGTGGTGGTCCCCCTATTTAAAAAGAGAGACAGAAG